CCCAGTCTCAGGCTGTCTTACACTGTAGCCTCCTCAATGGTTGCAGGCACTCAGAATAGAAAATGTGACTGGACTCAGCTTGGCCTCAGTGACCAACTTGCACTTAACTCTAGGCAGCAGCATGCCATCTGAATGAGATAAACTTTGTGTCTATGGGAATGGTCTGTGGGTACAGAGGACAGCCATCTCCTGTTAAGGGTTCTTTGTGCACCTGCTGGCTCTGACATCCTTTCCTTTTCCTGCTCTACCACAGCCCATGCTGATTGATGAACTATATGAGCTGGTGGTGGATGCCATCTTTGGCTTCAGCTTCAAAGGTGATGTTCGCGAGCCATTCCACAGCATCCTGAGTGTCCTGCATGGACTCACTGTGCCCATTGCCAGCATCGACATTCCCTCAGGTGCTGGGTCCAAGGAGGCTGGGGGGATTGGGGCCCTGCCCTGTCTGGAGGTAGGTACTGAGGAGTCCTGGTTCTTGGCCCAAGGTTCAGACTGAGTCTAAAATAAGTTGAGTCTAGAGGTGCAGAGCACATCTTTATGGATCCCACAAGAGGGCTGGGGAGCAAAGAATTCAGGAGTGCCCTTTACATGTTAACTGCACGAGCCCAGAGCCCAGGAGTACACAGAGCTCCAAGGATGCAAATTCCTCAGGTGGGGACCCAGGGGTCTTCCCACACCTTTAGGACTAGGGTAGAGCAAGGTGTGGAAGGGGACTGGACATTTGGTCTCTTCTGCTCTTCCTGAATACTACCTTCTTTTCAGGATGGGATGTGGAGAAGGGAAACTCTGGAGGCATCCAGCCAGACTTGCTCATCTCCTTGACAGCACCCAAAAAGTCTGCAACCCAGTTTACCGGTCGCTACCACTACCTGGGGGGTCGTTTTGTGCCACCTGCTCTAGAAAAGAAGTACCAGCTGAATCTGCCACCCTACCCTGACACTGAGTGTGTCTACCGTCTGCAGTGAGGGAAGGTGGGTGCGCATTCTTCCCAATAATGACTTAGTGCTTCTCTCCCAGAGAGCTCTTCTGGCAATAAAGGTTAAGAGATGACAGGAGTCAGAGAGCAACATTGGACATATATATGGTGCCACCTCTCTGGCGGAACGGACTGTGCAAGGGGGGTTGCTGTGACATTTGGGGGCAATGACAATTGACTTTCAGAAGCTGAAGAAGGCTCCCAAGTGAGGTGTGCTGTCTTTTACACACAATTCTTATTTGGGACATGGACACTGACAGGGAGCTGGGTGAGGTTCTCCTTCCACTTAGCAGCACAGCAAGACTACAGGAAATGAACAGAAGGAATTTCTTCAGAGGGCTCCAAGGAAACTAATTTGTATTCAAGACCTTCTCAGGCTGGGAATGGAGATGGCAGTCAGGACCTATATATAGGCTGGAAGCCCAAACTGATGTTTATTCAGTCACTTGGTATAGTTAGGAACTGGCAACCTATTGGCTGAATTTGCATGGGGTTTTTTTTAGCCTTCACAATATTTAAAAATCAGTACATTTCCCATAGGTCTTCATTTCCAACTTCTTTTAGGCAAGATGTCCCTTCAGAGGGTGTCTGCATTCCTGTTCCCACAGCCTTCAGCATCCTTGTCCCTTGGCTGCCTGGTTCCTGCAGGCGCTTGAGTTCACAATCTCTGGGTTAGAAGCCGGAAGGGGGACCAGGCCTGCTCCCTCAGGCACAGTACTATCCCTCTGCTCTCAGCAGACTGCTATTCCAGAGCAGTTTCCTCCTTCGGAGGGACTCCTTACTGAGGGGGTGCACAAGCCCTGCATCAACTCAGGTCTCTGAAACTTCAACAACTCCTCAAGAGGAATCAACCAAGCCCCACCTTGACCTAGCCTTCAGTCTCTCTTCTGTTTATTCTTTGTTGCTCTCCCGTCAGTGCTGACTCCAGGTCTTTCCTCCTCTGGCTGCTTCTGCCTCCTCTTCTTACCTCTGCCACTCGAGCCAGTGCGTGCTCTGCTCTCCGCTGCCCTAGTGCTGCCACCTTCCTCATCTCCTTCGTCCCTTACATCCAAGACATCCCCCTCCTCCTCTTGATGCCTCTGTCTTTTCTTCTTGCTTCTCCTGCTTTTCCCATCACTGCAGGATGTGCTTTCTGCTCCTCTGGTCCCACCATCTACAACAGCCTCCTCAGCTTCTTCATTCTCTATGTTCAGGTCTTCTTCCTCATGCTGCCGCCTCTTCCTGCTTCTGCTGCATGGGTCAGTGTATGCCCTACTCTCTACCTCCTCTGTACCATCGGTAGCCTCCTTACCTCCTTTATTATCTGAGACCCTCACCTCCTCTTCATGGTGCTGCCTCTTCTTCTTCTTCCTTTTCCTGAAGGACTGATCACTGTGTTCCCCAGGCCCACTTGTTCCTGTGGTCTCTTCTCCCTCGTTCTCTACAGCTGATCTCTCTCTCTCATCTGTGACCTCTTCCTCTTGATGCCGTTTTTTCTTCTTGCTTTTCCTGATGCTTTGGTCAGTGTGCTGTCGGTACTCTTCTGCATTCCCTTCAGTTGCTATAGCCTCTTCCTCCTCTTTCTGCTTCCTTTTCTTTTTCTTTTTTTTGGGGGGCTTGCTCTCAGATGGCAGCTGAGGTGTCCCAGGGTCTTGGCCTTTGAGGTGAGCCAGGAAGGCCTGCTCCTGGGCCTCTAACCGAGCAAGCTTAGCCTTCATTGTGATCCCAAGACGGGCAGCCCTGAAATAGATGGGGCCCAAGTCAGAGGGAGGGTATCAGGGAAAACAGGCCTAATCTTTGAGACTGCAGTGGAAAGTTGGTAAGGGAGGAGCTGCCTATCTTTGGGCAGCTTCAGAGATGGGCAGAGAGTAGGAATCATTTTCTCTGGGGTGAAGAAAGCCAAGAATTGGCACAGGCCATCCTCAAGGGTGGACTTGTGATGGGAAGAATAGAAGGGAGCCGAAGCTAACCACTACTTACTTGTGTGCTGTTCGCCCCTCACAGGCTTGGAGTAGCATCTCATCAGTCAGACTGTTGTGGGGAGGGGGGAAGAATCAGGAATTACAAACAGATCTGGTGGAAAGGCTGGACCTCTTCTTCCCTCCAAAACATTCCTTCAACACTGAGTTCCTATTCAGGACCTGGCAGTTTTCTATGTGGTGGATACAAAGAATAGTACAACACAGTTCCACCCTGAAGAAGTCCACAGTCAAGCACTACACTTGGTCCTTTCTTTTGAGATTTGAAGGCATCTCCTCCCACATGCCCCTAGCACTAAAAAGAAGTCTCACATCTTTGGAGGCTTGGGCACCTGGCTGTCGTCATCACTGCAGCTTTCCAAGTCCTTGTCTGGCTTCTCCCCACTTGAAGTCAGTGTGGCCGTCTAAAAGGAGGGATCATGGGGTGAACAAGGGCCACTGCCATCCCTTTTCCTTCCTGGGAAAGCTCCCCCCTGCCCCCCAGGAATAGCCATAGGCACAAATTTGTCAGCCCCCAACATCACTCCTAGCAGACCCACAGAGAGGTGCACCCAACTGCACACTTCAACTTGGGCAGGAGGTGGGCTGCAGTTGGGGGTGGGTGGGGTGGGTCAGTCCGAGCCTCCCTGACTCACAGCCAGCTAGTGGGCAGAACAAGAAGGGAAGAAGAAGTGCTTTGGGTCTTCAGGTCTCCACAGTGGGACAAGTGCCCCCTATCCCATGGTCATCCCATGGTCCTGGAACTGACAATAAAGATGGTACTTTTCATGCCCCCCTGCCCGCATACCTATGCACAGTACTTTATTTGAACAGATTAAGAACCTACTATAAACTAAGAGGTTGGGGATATAGAGTGGAATAAGAATGAGATAGGTCTAGCCCAGATGAAATCTGCATGGTTGAGGGGGAAAGGAATATGGTGGAACACAGGCAAATATGATGAAAGGTGTTGTCTGTGGTAGAGGAGGGGCACCCTATCAGGCTTCAGGGTTGGAGGAATCGTTTCTACAAGTAGCTGAGCTCTGGAAGACAAAAAGTCAGCAGGTAAAGGGGCAAAGGGATCAGAATGTCCCAGGCAGAGGGAATAGCATGTGCAAAAACCTGAAGGTGAAAGAACATGGTACCTTCAAAAGATTCAGATTCCATCTGGCTGAAGTGTAGAGATCCTAAGAGAAGTGGCGAGAGAGAGGCAAGGGAAGAAGGCAGGGAAAAGGCATGAAGGGCCATGTGAGCCAGTCTGACACATCTGGACTAGGTCAAGGAGAAGCCAGTGACTCATTGTAATTTGTGTTTGAGAGAGAAAGCTCTGGACGCTTTGTGGAGGATGAACTGATTGGGGTAGGGAGTGAGACTAGAGTTAGTCTAGTTATGAGGCTGTGAAAGAAATTAGGTAGGAGATGATGATGGTCTGAACCGGGATAGAAGATAGCCACAGAGACAAGGAGAAAGGGGAAGATTTGCTGGATAACACGTAGAGCCCCCTAGCATATAACAGATGATCATTAAATGTTAGCTCCTTCTATTGGCATGCTGGAAAAGGGGAGTCTGAAGACCTGGGTTCTAGTCCTGTCTGCCACTCCTAGCCACTCTTCAGTGAGCCACTTTACCCCCTTTTGGCCACATCTGCAAAACAAGGACAATGGATCAGATAATCTCTCAGGTCTCCTCTGGCTTCTAAGTCCTTTGAATTAAACAACCCCTCCCTGCCCTGCTCTGGTAGCTCCTGACTGTGCCCTGCCTCCCAGTCCTTGTTGCTGCCCCCTCAACAGATGGTAGGGATCCATGCAACCTGAAGATTTCTTGCTGAGGGTCTGGGCAGTCTAGGTAAGCAACAGCAAGGTTGGTCACAGGATGCCGATATATTAGGACAGTCCTGAGGACAGGTAGGGCACACAAGGCAACTGTTCAGGCCCCAGGGGAGACCAGGGAAGGAAAAAAGGATGGGCCCTCCCACCCCCAGCCTCTAATACCTTCACAAACTTCTGATACAGCATGTTGGGCTTGGGATGATTACGATGAGTGGTCTCCTTAGAAAGGCGCCTGATCTGTACTCCATCCTGCGGGGAAGTATCCATGAGTGGGCGACATGCTGTGTCTCCCTCACCCCCATGTGTCCCAGGCCCTCATGTTTCACGTGACCATCTATTAGAGCTCATACCTGCCTAGTTTCCACTACTAAGCTGGCTGCAGTCTTGTTGAAGAGCTCATTCCACCAGTGGTTTGTGAACTCCTTGGCAGGGTCGTGTCCCACCTGCCAGAGGCAGAAGTATGAACTCAGGACCTGTCATTCCCCGCCCTCCCCCCATCCTCAAGGCCGCCCCTGTCCATCCACAATGCCCAGTCTTACCCCGTAAGTGTCCTGCTTCAGCGTTACCCTGAGGGCCTGGGTGATGCCGTTCTCCTTCCGGCCCAGGCCTTTGCCTGCAGAAGACAGTGAATGATTCGGCTTATCCCAATGCCTGCACCAAGTCCTTATGAGGCGCCCCCAGCACACGGCACTCCTTGCCATTCTGCACACCTGGCATCGGGCACACCCCGTCCGTCTCAGAAGTTCTCCTAGTTCCACCCTTTCCAGCACCTCTCCATGTGGTCCTCCTGTCTGAGCCTGAACTATCTTTTCCTTCATAATTCTTTCAGGACAGAGGTCATGTCTCTCTGCCTCTTCCAGTCCTCCCAACACTTCCTACTCACTATCCGTCATATTCCTTCCATTCTTCCCTTTTCTGGAAAGTCTGATTTTCCTCCTCCAATTGAACAGACTACTTAGGGGTAATCCAGGATGATGCCTCTCCCTGGGCAGAGGGCAGCGAGGGAGCTGGGGGATGTGGAAGGGGCCCTGTGGGGATCACCTTGAGTCCATCCATGCTTTAGCAGCTGCTCCTCAGCAAACTTCATCCCACGACTCTTGACCTCTGGAGTGACACTCATGGTGAGAAAAGAGTCACTGTCCTCAGGCTTTCACCAGAGAAGAGATCACTGTCATCCCTTTAAGAGGAAAAGAGAAAGTGCCCAAATCATCCATCAAACCCACCCTGACTGCTCTTGTAAGAATTCTTTCCTTAAGTTGGAACAGAGACAGAGGAAGGAGGCCTGGTCCTTGGGGGAGCTCCCTGACTGACCACAAAGAGATCAACATCAACACGTTGAGAGTCAAGGAAGACTCAGATTGATAATAACATCTGTTTATGGAGATGCCACATGTCATGTTATCACAGGCCAGGCTGTGCTAAAGCTTTCCATGGATCATTTCCTGTAATCTTCCCAGCTAAGGAAGATTTCCTGAACTTTACATTCAGGAAAGTATTATTATCCCTACTTTACAAATGAGGAAACTAAAGACTCAAGAGTTTAGGTAACTTGCTCAGGGTCACACAGCTGATGCATGTGGAACTCAAACCCAGGCGGCTTGTCTGCAGAGGTCCCACTCTTAAATTCTCACCACCTAATAACATCTCCCAATTTATTACCATGAAAAACAATGCAGTGAGGTGCTTATTAACCTGAGTTATAATAGTACTTAGCAGAGCCATACCCTATACCTGTGGCCAGCATTTTCACTGTCCTCTTGGTGTGAGGCTACACACCTCTTCCTTTCAGTCTTGTTGGAGCACCCCTTTTTTGGACTGTCCAGTTTAGGAAGGGTGCTCTTCTTGAATATTTAATGCATAATGGGGGATTACACATATTGTTTTACCATCTCATTTAATCCTGACAGTCCTGCAAACTAGGCATTATCCTTATTTTACAAAAGAGGAAAACAAAGTCAGGTTTCTTGCTTGGGGTTACACAGCTAGTAAGAGATGAAGCTGGAATATGAGCCCAGATTGCCTGACTCCAAAGTGTCCCTCTTTCTATCATATTACCAAGTACAATAATCCCTCAGTATCTGCAGGGTTTTGGTTCCAGGACCTGCCATGGAAACCAAAATCCATGGATGCTCAAGTCCCACAGTCAGCCTTCCACATCACTGGATTCAACCAACCACAGGTGTAGTACTGTAGTATTTATTGAAAAAAAAACAAACCTGCATGTAAGTGGACTTGTGCAGTTCAAACTTGTGTTGTTCAAGGGTCGACTGTACTTCCATTTCTTTACAGTCACTCAAGTGTTCCTCTTTTTGGACTCCACAATGGCATTATCCAACTTATATACCAACTTTGCCTCTGAACTGGTTAAGATGGCTTATTACACAAGACATTCAAAACTATCACTGCTGACTTGAGTCACGAAAATTAACTTGTATTAAGATCATTTATCACAGGCATTGCAGACCATTTTCAAAGCTGATTAATGGCACTATTGGAGTAATCCTCTAGCCTTCCAAAGTAACAACTCTGAAGGGTAAAGCTTTTATTTGTGTTTAAGAAGGTCTAGTAAGTATGCTGGTTTAAAAAAAAAATCAGACACATCATTACATCACCCCTCCTAAACATTACATATTAGGGTTAAGAACAATGACCAGTCTGTTTAGGTATAGAGTAGCAAATTCAGAGAAAAAAAAAGTAGCAAATTCGGGATGACTCACATTTCTGTTCACATTTCTACTGTGAAGGATGATTACCTGAAAATCTAATTGAGACCTTGAGAGTCCCAACAAAAAAGCACTGAATGAAGAAATGGCCCCATCTTGCCTGATACTGTAAGATTAGTAAAATTCAAACACTGAGGCCTTTAAAGCCACCTCAAATCTGCCTCTTCTGAAGTTGTCTCTCGTCTATCAGCCCACAGATTTCAATAATATTAACAACAACAACACTTATGCATTTACTCAGTGCCAGCCTGTTGCTACTTGCTTCACACACAATGTCTCATTTAATCCTCCCAACAACCCCATTAAAGATTTTTACTGTAACTTACAAATGAAGAAATGGCACTGAGAGGTTTAGTTACTTGTCCAAATTAAATAGCTGGCAGTGGATCCAGGACCTCAGGCATTCCAGAACTGATGTTCTTAACCACTATGCTCCTCAGTCTTTTATAGCTACTTGTGCTTTATGCTGTAAGACTTACGGTGGCCTGTCCCTTGTTTCAGTAATTCGTAACTATACGCCCTGGAAGTCACAAACGGGCTTTATTTCCCAACCCCAGTACACTTAATGCAGCTCCAAGACTCGAGAGTGCGTTATTCGGTGAACTGAATGATATACGTGGGTGGGGATTGCTTTAACGGACTTACAATGAATAACTGTGGACAGAAGCAACTAGGTCCCAGGCTGCGAGTACACTTTCGGGAACTGTCTTCTCTCCAGTCGACCTGAGTTTTCTGGAAGCTTTCTGGAGAAGGGATCCAGGGCCATAATTCTTACAGCGGTCCCAAAGAGCCGGGTTCCCTTTCCCTAGATCTCCTTCCTGAGGTCTAAACTCCAACCCTCCTGCCAGTTTCACTTGGGTAAAACTACTCTCCTGCTCTCACATTTGCTCCTGAGCCCAGGCTCCGACAGCCACCATTTGGAGAACTGCAACCCCTTACCTTCATTGCAAGGTCCTCAACATGTGGCAGATGTGACTTGTGCGCCGCCATTTCCCCGGAAGTGCCATCTCGGTCCTTCTAGGCTGTCGAAACCATAGAGACGCACTCCGGACTCAGAGCGTCAGTCCTCCCAGGAGGAACTGTTTTGGATAGGCTCACTTGCCTGTTTGTTTGCCATAGAAACTCGGGTTCAGAGCGTGCCCATTTCAGAAGCTTTGGGAAGTATTCTACTAACTGCCTGCAGGCCCTGAGCGGCCGCGGGACTTCAGCCCTAACCCACACTCTCTGGATGCCGAGAACAGCTTTGGGTCCGACACAGACTAGTCTTGGGTACATATACGAGGAAGGGAAACTTTAGGGGAAAGCATCGAGAGAGGCCTGAGAGATTCATGGAGGCAGAGATGGAGACAGCATTTCTGAAGTGACGTGGGGATGAATACTCAGCCTGCAGAGACAGTTATTTATAAAACTCGAGAGGTTTCAGTAGGTTCATCAAACACCTTTTGACTCACTACAGTGTGCCAGGACCTGCCCCTTTGGTACTGGTGATAACAAAGGTTTGTAAGACATGAGACCTGACTTCAGGGAGCAGGTGGTTTAGCCAGGGAAGGTTGGGACTGGAGAGAGGGTCGGGATCCCGGAACGCAAGCCAGGCTGAAGAGTTTGGACTTGCCTTGTTAAGTATGAGGATCTATTGAGCAGGGGAGGGGAAGAAGATACTGCAAGGAAATCAGCAAGAGAGGTTGCATACGCTTCCATCCCCACAAAAGGTTCTTAGGGTTCACTGAGCCACCCGAGAACTAACCTGAAAAAGGTATCCTTCTGCTTCCCTTTATGAATATCTACCGTAACTTAGCGCCCCCAGGAATTTCAAAGAGAAAAACTGCCATTTCACAGTAAAGCTTTGTCACAACTGCTTGATAAGTCATACTCCCTCATCTCCATAAGATTTTGATGCGATAGCACCAAAAGGAATAAAACACTTAGGAATTTAACAAAACATAACAAAAGAAGTGCAAGAGTTGTACACTGAAAATTACAAAATGTCATTGAAACTAAAGAAGACCCACATAAATGGAAAGGTACCTATGTTTATGGATGGGAAGCCTTAATATTGTTAAGATCACAATATTCTCCAAATTGGTCTACAGATTCAATGCAATCTCTGTCAAACTCCTAGCTGGCTTTTTTGCATAAGTTGACAAGCTGATTTGGAAATTCAAATTGGAAATGCAAAGGGTTCTTTTTCTTGAAAAAGAACAAAGTTGAAGGACAAACACTTCCCAATTTCTAAACTTACTACAAAGCTACAGTAATCAAGATTGTGGTTCTGGATCAACAGAATAGAAATAAGAGTCCAGAAACAAACCCACACATTTACGGGTAATTAATTTTCAACAAAAATGCCAAGACAATTCAATAAGGAGAGTGTATTGTTTTCAATAAATGGTGTTAAGACAACTGGATAGCCACATGGCAAAAGAAAAAAGTGGGACCCCTACCTCGTCTCATATGCAAAAAATTAACTCAAAATGAATCCAAAACCTATAAGAGTGAAACTTCTAAAACTCAAAAGAAATTATAGATGGAAATTTTCATAACCTTGGATTAAACAATAGTGAGACAGGCTAGGACTTGAAGCCTGGGACCCTGGGCTGTAATAATTACACTGGGACACAACAACAGAATGCAAAGAAACTATAAAGAACTAAAAATAACTGTGCGCCTGGAGTTATGAACAATAAGCTACAAAAAGACCAAAAACCCAACTGCCACTTCTGAGGTGTCTGGGAGCAAAAGCAGGATACTGGGAGCAGAAGCAAGATACTGCGCATGATCCCTGCACACAGCACCACCAAGGGGGTGGGCCAACCACCTAAGCCACCCCTCCAGCTCAACCCCTAGACCTGCCCCTACCCTCACTCCATTTAAGGGACCAGCTCACCCTCCCCTCCTCAGGCAGTGAGCATAGGAACCCATTACTTGTTTCTGCTCCATCATGCTGCAGCAATAAAGCCTTTCCTGAATTTCTCGTCTGGTCTGTTATCAATTTCTATTGATTAAGGAGGCCAAGAACCCTGGTTGGTAACAAAAGTTTCTTAGATATGAGTCCAAATGTGCAAGCAACCAAAGAAAAAAACAGTTAAGTTGGACTTCATCAAAATTAAAACTTTTGTACTCCAAAGCACACTATCAAGAAAGTAAAAAGTCAATCTACAGAATGGAAGAAAATACTTGCAAATCATATGTCTGATAAGGTTCCAATATCCAAAAATAAAGAATACTTACAACTCAACAATAAAAAGACAACACAATTTAAAAATGGGTAAAAGATTTAGATAGATATTTCTCCAAAGAAGATATACAAGTGACTAATAAGCACATGAAAAGTTGCCCAACATCATTAGTCATCAGGAAAATGCAGATGAAAACCAGAGTGTGATATCATTTCACACCTCCTAGGATAACTATAATTTTTAAAATGAGCAATAACAAGTGTTGGTGAGGATGTAGAGAAATTGGAACCCTCATACATTGCTGGCAGGAAGGTAAAATAATGCAGCTGTCTTGGAAAACAGTTTGAAAGTTCCTCAAAAAGTTAAAAATAGAGTTATTGTTAAAAATAGTATTATAGCAATCCCACTCCTACATATATACCCTAAAGAACTGGAAACATGTCTATACAAAAACTTGTACACAGATGTTCATAGAAGCATTATTTGTAGTAATAGCTAAAAAGTGGAAACAATCCACATGTCCATCAATTGATAAATGAATAAACGAAACATGGCAGATCCACAATGAAATGTTATTCAGTCATCAAAAGGAATGAGGGATTGATACAAGCAGCAACTTGAATTTACATGCAATGTGCAGAGCAGGCAAATCCACTGACATAGGTCAACTGGGAAGAAGGAAATGGAGAGTGACTACTGATGAGTACAGGGTTTCTTTTTGGGTTGATGACACGTTCTGGAATCAGTGGTGATGGATAAACTCATGAACATACTAAAAACCACTGAACTGTACACTTTGAAAGAGTGAATTTTATGATATGTGAATTATATCTCAAAAAAAAATCCACAGTCACACTAAAAATACAAGGGAAAAACAGTAACCTGTTATAGGCAGTCATTCCAAGGTGACGGGATTACAAAAAGGTGCTTCTCCTTCTTTATATCTTTTCTCTGAATTTCCGGTTTTCTACAATTAACATATTTTATTAAAAAAAAACTAAAAAAAAAAAGGCAGGGGAGGGAATAGCTCAATGTTAGAGCACATGCTTAGCATGCATAAGGTCCTGGGCTCAATCCCCAGTACCTCCTCTAAAAATAAATGAATAAATAAGCCTAATTACCTCCACCCCCAAGAAAAAAAACTAAAAAACAAAACTTTTTTTCATTAGGAAAAATAACTTTAAACCAGCAAATGGATACTAATCAAAGTTCCTCAATGCTGAGGGACTTGGTGCGGAAATGAGGAGAAATATGACTGACAACAGGGAGGCCTTCAGGAGGAAGTGAGTGTGGCCCTGAAAGTACCAACTCTTGAATTCCTTCCTAAATTTAATTAATTCTGAAAAATTAAGGTCTTGGGTTATGTTGCTATACTCACATATTTCTATAGCACAATGTTATAAAAATCATACTATGCTCACAAATCCCTGTGGTGCGTACACTTGTATGACACTTCCCCTCTACCTCTTCTCAGTTTTGTGGGGGTTTTTTTCTGCTACTGAAATCCGAGCCTGGGGGAAGAGAAAATAGCTTGTGGTTGCAACTACATTGTGGGATTTAAAAAACGCTGATATCACAAATACTGCCAATGTTTACCTAATGTTATTTACTTTTCTTTCTGTTGAGAGAAAAAAAAGGTGCACCTACAGCTCTTAGGGTTATCTTTAGACTGATATTATTTCCTAATCCTCAGACCTAGGCAGTTTCTAATTTTCCTGCTTCAGTAACAATTGAGTTCATAACAGCAAAATATTACAATCCCTTGTGTAAAGTTCCTTACTATTTAAAAATAGTGGTTTTCATTTAAAACAATGGTTTACAGTTTAAAATGTCATTTTCACAAACAGCATCATATTTAATTCTCACCCTAGTCCCATGATGCATGTAATCATCCCAATTTGTAAGTGAGTAACGTGAGGGCCAGCTGGCACAGAAAAAGGAAATGGAATGAAAAGACTGTGGTCTCAGCCACAGACAGCTGTTTACTGATGCAATCTAGTGTAGGGTCTGCTTTACATTTATTTCCCTTTGAAGCACCATTGCCATCTGCCCGTCGGTACCATGCTTCTGGGTCAAGACCTGTCTCTGAGCCCTGCGTCACTGTCACTCTAGTTCTTGTCTCTGTCTTTCCCTGACCTCAGTATCTCCTTATGTGAACGGGCTTGAACACCTCAGGGTGTGAACATGCTGGTTGTGGTGGTGGCATGGGGAGAGTGGATCGGGGGGACGGCGTGTAATGGGCCCTCTTTCCTCTGTAGGGCTTGCTGCCACTTCTGAGTTGTGCCAGAGGAGTGAAGTTTTCAAGGTAGCCCACACATCCATTTGGGTTGCTTTTTATATTTTTAAACATGAAATATTTTCAGAAAAATCAGCAAAAATGCTATGGAAAAGTGCTCAATGGGACAGAATAAAAGACACCAACATGAGTGGAAGTAGAAGTGGGAAAAAGGACCATGCTGGAAATAAAAACAGCAAGGAATCCCACCCCCTTCTTTCTCTTGGCACTGCTGACACAAATATGAAGAAAATTGCTTTGAGAAATTGGGACACTCTCCCTCTGAACTGGAGCTTAGTTAAGCCTTGTCAGAGCCAGAAGTCTGAGGGCGCTCTGAGCCTGAAGACGACCCCAGATTTCTGCTGTAGCCTTTCCATGCCTGAGCATGCTCCGCCTCAGACAAGTGGTGACCACCCAACAGTGCACAGGACTGTGTCCGGAGCCCTGCTCTCTGCTCTGCCCCGCAGTGCAGGTAATGCAGCCTTCTCGCGCCACCTGCTGGCTATCTTTTTTATTGCACATTTAATCACGACAAAATTCATACACATAGTACAAAATGCCTTGAAAGTTTGA